TAATTTCGTTGCTATTTTAACAATCTAGCGGTTTGCCTTCTGTTGTGCGAGCGGGTGGTATAAGCCTTGCTGATCCTAATGTACAAAATATTGAAATCGCCGAGTGTATCGAACATCATGATTACGAATATCCATCATCCTATAATGACATAGCATTAGTCAAACTGGCCGAGTATAGAATGTAAGTGTATTTGTATGAATAGAAAAATAAAAAGAAACTAACTGAGAAAGCAATGGCTGTTGTATTTCTAGCCCAACTTCTAAATTTGAAGGAGCAGCATGTCTTTGGACACCTGATCGCATAGGTGATACCGATAATGCAATTGTTTTAGGCTATGGACACACCTCTTTCGGTTAGTTGAAATGAATAGTAAAACGAGAACCATAAGTAATGATATTTCATCTTTTTAGCCGGTATTGCGTCTGAAGATTTGTTAAAAGCCACTCTGAAGGTTTATACGCAAAGCCAATGTGAACAAGATTATCCACCTGACGAGCTATCTCGTAATCTTAGGAACGGTATATCAAAAGATTTTATCTGTGCCATAGATCCAGAGAATCTAAGAGACACTTGCCAAGTACTATAGACATAAGTATTAATTAACGTGAGGTTAACTTGTTTTCATTGACAGGGTGATTCTGGTGGACCCCTAGTTAAGGTAATCCTTGAAAAACCATATATTGTTGGTGTTACTTCGTTTGGCGTTGGCTGTGCATCAGGAATGCCTGGTATATACACCAGAGTCTCCGAATACATTTCCTGGATAGAGGAGATTATCTGGCCGGATGAGAGATGGGCATAAAGCAATAAACGGATAGTTTCACTGCTTTAAACTTATGGAATGTCAGATTTGTTATGAAGATTATAGCTGGAATGAGAAGATTAGGTTAAGCTATTGAAAATTTATCTAATTTCTTTTGCTATATCTATAGAGCTGTTTTTGTAACTAAGCAAATCATGGAACTCGAGTTCATTTTATTTTCCACAAGTAAAATTATTAAATAAAATATTTCAAAAAGAATTAAAATTTATGTGCATAAAATGATGATTCCATAAAAGGAAGCTTAAAAGATTCCATAAAGTATACATATTTTTGGTCAGCACCAATTCTGAATCGAACCAAACCTGTCCGCCTGTTCGTCCGCCCCTCTATACAAGGTCTGTTGCAAACGTTCTCTTGGCCGCATAAGTGAACCTATCAGCTTTCAAATGAGAAGAAACATTGAATATTCTTGCAAGCAGTTTGGCATAAAAAATGGGCCAAATCGGTGGAATGACATGTCTACAGCATCACGTAAAATAAGAATATGTCGTGCTGCAAATAAATCTTTAAAAAGTAAAACGTATCTTCTACAGGCGATGCTATAGTCCCTGCACAAAACTCGCACAAAGCAGGACCGACTATCCAATATTGTAGTACATCAAAATTTGATTTTTTTGTTAAAATGGGTAAATTCTAAAATGATTATGGTGGACATCGCGGTTAATTTGTTTTTAGTAATACTAGCGATACGGGTATCAAATAAAAGAACTTGGAGAGTAGAATGCGAAAAACATGGTGAAGGGGATGCGAGATTCAGCGCCCGCTCATTGCTCTCCTTACAAAGGCGCATGTCAACGTTTAAATGCGTCAATTACAATCTATGTCCTTTGTCTTTGTTACTTTGTTGGGGAAAAACTAAGTGCCATTGTGTCATTAACGGTAGCCCAATGGACAGTTTTAGTTGCTTTAATATCATCTATGATCAGAAATTTTCTGTAACGGTAGCGTTTGTCGTTACATTTGGTACAAAGTCTCGTCTAATTGCACTTTAAGGGAATTGAACTATGATTAGTAAACAAAAATTTTAATTTATTATCGCATAATCACGTCGTGGATTAAAAAGCATTGAGCAATTAAATCGATGAGTAAATCGCGGCATATCTCTTATCGCCTTTACTCTACTCAAAGCTTGAAATATATTTAATAAACTTTAAATGTTCATCACTGCTATTCATTTCACTGGTTATTTAACTTTTAATTTAATTAAACAAAACGATTGTGTTCACAGGTGACAGTTGCATCTACTTCACGCATTATGTAAAATCGTTTAGGGCACTATTTATTCCTTCGAAGATAATTGTAAGATTGGCTTTAGTGGAAATGTGCAGAAATGTTCTCTGGTGCGGCGGTTATTGGCTACTATTACATACAACAGCCACTGCAACTATAGCAGGGAATCCACAAGTCTTCGCCACAAAAAAAAACCTAGCACAGAACCGGACATTATATTACCTAATACAAGAGTTCATTGAAAATCATACCATGGTCCAGCATTTCCCAGTGAACGTGCCCGAAACGCGAACTAAAGATAGTCAAGTAGTAAAAATTGGATTTTGTCCCCGCATAATTCTTTACCGATCTAATAGGCTTACATGGACCAAAGGTGCCTTCTATGTCAGATTACCCATCGTAAAATATTAAAAATTCTACATCTTTGCTGTAGAAAGGGTCTTAAGAACTCTTATAGGGTGTGGGATCCAAAAAATAAACTTATGTTTTCTCAATTTGATACAAATAAGTTGTATGTTAAATTGTTATTACGGACCAATTTTCATGATAGACTATTAAAACTTAGACCGCTTTGTCGAACGAAGGCTTACTGTTCGAAGACGTTCAAAACTTTGGCCCATCCGATGAAAATTCTTTCCATCCATTAAGAATACCCAAGTATCATTATGTTGCGAAATTTTGTGCGAGACAAAAATTTACAGAAGTCACACCAAATTCTAAATCGATTTAAGCATGTCCACCTGTCCGCCTGTGCAATGTCTAGTGTAAACATTCTCTCGGTCATAAAAATTATTTTACTATTGACTTAAGATTTGGCAAAAATAATGGCAATTCTTGCACACTGTTTGGTACTGAAAATGGGTTAAGGTACGGCACAACCTAAGCTGGGAAAACCCCAGTATTTTCCCAAAGCAGGAAAAACCAATTTTTGTTTACTCATTACTCATAAACACACTACAATAGGTAAATGTACAAAAATTTAAATGTATACGTTATGGGCTATGCTGTAGTACTTGTGCAAAAATCAAAAAAAATTGACCACGCCTATATAATCAAATAATATTAGATTTTTTTTTCCAATATTTCTAAAATATATAGAAACTAGTTTCAAAGACGCCACAGGCTATTTACATTTTTGCCCAATTTCAAGTTCATAATGCACCTAAGCGAAAGTGGCCGATGTCGACCTGATATATACTAAGTTGGGTCAGTGATGGTCGAGCAAGTGTTTATATAGAAATGTATGATTTTCTGGATTTTATTCGATAAGGCAGTCGAGGTAGACCCGTATGTCCGGCGATACTAAAGGACACTGGATGGAATATCTACTTATAACTGATTGTTTATTTACGCTGGTTCTGCGGTAGTTACTCTTAAAAATTGTCCTAACCCATATAAGGTTATCCATCCGGTCAATGATCCGTCTTAGCCATCGTGATGATGTTGTAGAAAGTTTAATCTCTGCAATAGGTCAGGGCAATGATTCTTTTTATGGTGACTGTTGCAAAATCGTGATAAAAAAAGATGACTCCTATGATGACGGACCTTACATCGCATCACTTAGTAGCACTAGTTTGCTTATCGGATATATCTTGTATATATTCGAGAATGTATAGGCATGAGAAGATTGTTTGGTATGATTACTAAGAGGGGAAAGCTTTCCAACGAAATATTATAGGGCGCCCCCCTCCCCCCCTCCTCCGCCCTTTCCACATCTCCTCATTAGAATAAAAGTTTCGTAGAAAACATGCATTTACATAAATAAATTCACGCGGGAGAGAGTATCTGCAAAATTCCCATTTATTAGCAAAAGATTTCATGAGGAACAACCCATTTCCCTAATACAAAGCATTTGTAAAACTTTTTGATTTTGTTTATATACATATATAATTATAGGAAATTGAATCCTAATCTATTTACATCCGTTCGCTGATTAATTGTATTTTAGTTGAAAAACTCTTCTCGCGTTTAGTGCATACACTTAATAAATTACGCAATGCATTTAAAACAAATATTTTCAATTAAGTTCGTATTTCATATTATTTTGGTCAAAGGTATTTAAATTTAATTAAAATAAATAAATAAATAAATATAGAAAACACAATATAATACAATAAATAATTTAAGGCTTAATTGAATCGTCTAATGCGGATAAAAATAATGAAACTCTACACGATTGTAATACCAGCGGCGAACCCAGTATATGTGTTCCTCATACCTTTTGTAAACCCAAAAAAAATATTATTCATTTCTACGATGATCAATGCGATAGAGATGCGAATGGAATTCTTCAGATTTGCTGTTTAATGTCGAATTTATTAGTACGCGTTGTGAAAGAGGAACCTGCGACAACTAATAAAACCTTAGCCAAGGAAAGTATGTAAAATGCTAACGCTTATTAATATAATTATTTCATTTACTCACAATTTAACGCAGTGTGTGATCGATATTATACTTCTAGGAAATCGATAACTCATGGCAAAAAAGTCTTAGTGAGAGAATTTCCATTTATGGTAAGTGCAATGTAAAAGAATTGATCTTAGTTTTCGTCAAAAAGACTGAACATTTATATAAACTGATAAATTTATGCAAATAATAATGAAAACAAGCAAGAAAATTATATTCGGTCATGACCGAATCTTTTATACATGGTTCATGACGGTAAGCATATATTCACAAATGAGAGCAAGCGTCATGGTTTCTTTCAAAACAAGAGTTCATATAAGAGAATAAGTAAGAATATTATACTCGGTCATAATTTATATATGTATGTATATATTATATGTATATATACATATAAATATATTTTAAATAAATATTTAATATGTATATGTATATATATATGCTTTCCGAACATATAGTTTTGCATCTCTGATGCGTATTCTTATATATTTTAAATCACAAAAAA